AGAGTTTCGACAGTGAAGAAGCTGCTTCAATAAAAATTGCCCAAGATATGCTCTCTGAACCAAACATGGAGGGCAGTTTGCCATTTATCAAGTCGAACTTTGCATTACTGGCAACAACTATCACGTCACTGGAGAAAGTGGGCGAAACAATGATAGATTCCATTTCCTTAATTAAACAGGTGGAAGCTAATGTTAGCAACATTCGTGGTGAAACAGGTACAACAATTGCAGAAAAACTGAAAAAAGTCCTGGACAAAAATTCTGGATATAAAACTTTGTGTCAAATCTCAGACATACTCTGTGGTAAAAACTACTCATTGGCTGGAATCGAAGAGGATTTAACCGCTGACGATCTTCCCCACTTCAAGTATGCTCCAATCACCTCAGTGGACGTTGAACGCAGCTTTTCAAGATATAAGAACCTGTTGGCAGATAACAGGAGATCGTTCACTTTCGACAATCTAAGAAACATTTGTGGTGCAGTGCAATTCAGAATAATACTTAAATATTGATTTAAGCATCATTTTTAGAATTTTTGTTGATTTTATACCTAGTTCATTTTCTTAACGGTCATTTATTAAAGTCTTTTTTTAGCGTTTTTAAAGGCATTTTTTTACTTTTTTAAGTCATCAACATCCGGGCCCTACATATAACATACATATATATATATATATATATATATATATATATATATATATATATATATATATATATATTGTATATTCTATACCTAAGGGCGAGCCCTAATACCATCACCTGCAAGTAAACTGCACAGTATTTTTTAAAAAGCAAGATTTTATGAATCTTCAATTAATTAAATAGGTGTTATAATATTACCTGTATCCGCAACTACATCATACGTACGGGATCATTAACCACTTCACAATGTTTTTGTAGTTAAATTTAATTGCCTTCATATTACTTTCACCAGCACAATAAAATTAATTCAAAATTGAAATCTTATACAGATAACTGCTTCCAAGGTATACTGCACTTGCTGCCTTATTTGAATGTAGGTACAATGGCGTCATACAAGAGATGTGAACAACTGACTGAAGTAATAATGGTGACTGACTCAAGTCGAGACAATTGCACAATATTGAATCTATTTGCACAATCTGGTATGTTAATCTAACGAAGAATCCGTGTATTCTTTACACTGACGAAAAAAATGACACCACATTGAGTACTTTTACAAGTTCCGGTATAAGTCTTATAGAAAAACTTTTAATAGTGTACTGATTACGGAACTATCCACGAACCTGTGGCTAAACTATATTTGCGGAACAGCGGAACAATTAGGTTTCAAAATAAACGAATGTGGTTTCTTTATAGGAAGTGAGGAATTGTATTTCTTAGGTGCTAGCCCAGATGGGGTAATAGATAGTGACACTATAATAGAAATTAAATGCCCTTATTCTGCACGAGATTCCACTATTGCGGACGCTATAAAAAATAAAATTATTACGTATGCCACAATAGAACCAGGACAACTAAAATTGAAAGGGTCCCACAATTACATGTATCAAATTCAAGGGCAATTGGCAATCACGAATAGGAAATGTTGTTACTTTATTGTTTGGACAAAAAAAGATATGATGTTTGAAAAAATAAAAAAAGATGAACTATTTTGGCAAGATGTTAACCTAAATTGCACACATTTTATTTTAATTGCCTCTTGCCAGAAATTGTGGATCCTCGCTATACACGAGAGCCTCCAGACAATGTAATAAGAAATCCCTCCAGGAATTAATACGTTTGTTTTACTATTGAAACGATTTAGACAATCCGAGATTAATTTCTAGATAAATAAAACTTTTCAACAGAAGAAGATTCGAGTATTTTAAAAACCCAACCTGCATGTTAAATAAGCAGGCTGTACATACTTATATTAAATTCAATTATACTTTACACATGCATCAAAGCCAGCTCAGCAAGCATAAGTCAGCAGATAAGCCAATAGGAGCTTCTACTAAATCCTTGGAAACTCGCTGCTAAATATTTATGAAACAATCCTCAAATTTTATATAATTTGGTTATTTCGTTGATAAATAGCAAGTGTTCTGGTACGGAGCGATCCCTACCCTAATGTATCATAGATGATGACATTTATTAAGCTAGCGTTAACCTACTTCAATTAGCTTAAATGATACTTTACTAAGATGTACGCTATATATTGGATGTATTAATTTATGAAATCGTATTTCCCATGGCGTCGACCTCCTTTGCTATTCATTGCACAAATTTATGCTACCAACTTTATGCAAACCGTTTCACGTTTATAGTTTTCAATTACCAACGTCTCCTGCATAAATTTTATTTTCATAATCCGTCTGCCACAAGGAAGACTGTTCAATTTTGTAATGAGTCATTAGCAAACTGCTTGCAGGAAAACCCTAAAAAGTTTTACACTGTTAACCTTTATTAATCTTTCGTATGGTAATGACAGAACAACGACTTTCACTAAAACCAGTAAAAATGCATCTTTTCAATATTTAAACATTTAAAATTTATCATATACAATATCATAAGTAGTCGAAGTATTGTAGAATATTTTTTAGGTGCTGTCACGAATGCGACTAGCATGAGTTTTTTTTTAATTGACATCAATTGCATATTTACATCTACTCTTGGTGAGTATTAAGCAAATGGGTTGTTAAGACATTGAGGGAGATAGCATCCATTGATGTTAATCCTATATAACTATATATTACAGATTAATGTAAAATTAATGTACTATGATGAGTATGTTTTAGTGTAATAATAGATCGGTTGGCCAGGTCCTGTGTAGTCTCCTTGGGATTACATCGTTTGAGAGGTGGTCCACTAGCTCGTGGGTTTTGGTGTGATAATTGACAGCAATTCGGTGGATCTCGTCTTGCACAAAAGGGACCCCCAGGTCTTTGTGAATGATCTGGTTAGTAACATACCAGGGTGCGTTTATGATTGAGCGCATGATCTTGGATTGGAACCTCTGGATAATACTGATGTTGGATTTCTTAGCACATCCCCACAGCTGAATGCCATAAGTCCATATTGGCTTTAGGATGGCTTCGTACAGCAACAGTTTATTTTCAGTTGATCATGATGATCCTCTACCGAGCAGCCAGTACATCTGTCTAAGTTTGATGTTTAATTGCCGTCTTTTTGCTTGTATGTGTTTTTTCCATGTTAATTTCTGGTCTAGGTGAAGTCCCAAGTATTTCACTTCATTCTTTACAGAAATGGGGTTACCTTCGATAGTAACTGGCGGACATGTGGTGAATTTCGTGGTGAAAGTAACTTGAGTAGACTTGGTTTTGTTGATGTTATTCGCCATCGATTTAACCATTCATTGACGAGATTTAAGTGCTCTTGGAGTCGTTCATTAGCTAAAATAGCAGTATGATCAGTAAAGGTGGTGATTAGGGTGGTATTTGTCTCTGGTGTGTCTGACGTAAACAGGAGGTACAGGATCGGCCCCAAGACACTACCTTGTGGGACACCGGAGTTAATAGAATAGTACTCGGAAATTGTGTTCATGTATTTCACTGAATAGTAGCGGTCGGACAGGTACGAATTCATTTGAGTTAATTAAATTGCGATCGGATGTGAATTTTACAATTACAGCTCTTGGTTTCTTTCCGTCCCCATTTTCCGACCCTGTGAATTCGGTCGATATGGTCAACATTGAGGGTGACTTTAAGTTGACTTGAAAAGAGTTCAAGTGCTTTAGCTTGGATATCTTCATTCGCAGCTTCTTGTAATCCGAAAACACGTATAGAATTCCTACGAGTGTACTGCTCAAGCTTATCATTGTCATCACAATATTTCACATTCGCCGCCGTTCACGCGATCACTTCAGTTTTTAGGTCTGCAATTACTTTGTTTTGAGCAGCAAGCTTGTGGTTTAGCTGTTCGATCACCGTTTTAAATACCGAGTCCGTAATCACTTTTATAAAGTTAGAGTCAGAGTTGGACTGGGTCAAGCATAGAGTGACCCAGTGAGTTTACTGACCCAGTGACCCGGTGACCCAGCTTGACCCGGTGACCCAGCTTGACCCGGTGACCCAGCTTGACCCGGTGACCCAGCTTGACCCGGTGACCCTTGACCTTGACCAGCTTTACTCAGTGACCCGTCTTGACCCGGTGGCCCAGTAATTAAATTATTGTTAGGTATCATCCAAAACAATTTCAAGTAACTTTTAATTTTAAAAAAAATTTCCTCAATAATATTCGGCAACAAGCACGTAGCCCAATTTCATTCAAGAGAACTAATACCTAAAAAAATCAAATGCATTTGTTTATAGTTTGTAGTCAAGTAGTCAATGAAAGTATTTAGAGAAAAGATTTATTTGGATTAAGCTAACTAGTAGAAAAAAATTAAATGTGAATGAACACTGTAAGCAAACTGGTAAGCCCTGAAGCAAAGAAATAACATTATTCTAATACAATTCGGGACATGGAAAGTTTTTTACGGCAGTATTAAAGCAAACATCACAGAAATGGCAGTTGTCAAGCAATCGAGTATTATTTTCAACAAACCAGCATTTCATTTATTGCATAATCTGTACACTTGACCCGAGGGCACTGACTTAACTGCGTTATTCGATCAAACTAGGTGACTGGGTCGAATTGGGTCCCCGGGTGAAATTGAGTCACTGGGTTAAACTGGGTCAAACTGGGTCACTGGGTCTAACTGAAAAGAGTATGATGTGACCCAGCGACCCCGTGACACAGTTTAATTTAGTGACCCAGTTGACCCAGTGACCCAGTCCAACTCTGGTTAGAGTCCGTTAACAATTTATTTGTTGTGGATGCGATAATCTGGTTTATGACCTCCAGCTGGTCTCGAGTAAAAGGCATTTTATCAGCTTTGCAGAAAATAGCTGACTACAAATTGTTAATATTGATTAAGGACATTTCACAACAACGTTTATTCAACAGTAAATTATATTTTTATGAGAGATGATAAATTGTGGAGCACACTTGCAATACGTCTACTCGCTACGACGCCTCATCTAAATACCCGGATATGGTGCTTCGTACAGCGGGCGCAACGGTCGTTGGGCTGCGTCTATTCGTATGTAGACTTGGGTGACGGTATCGAAGTGTTTGGGTGTGAACATTCGTCGTCTGGTGTCGTGATTCGATGCTTGCGTTGGTCGTAACTCTTGGATGTGTTGTCGTAGCTGCGTGACGAAGGTCTCGGGTCCTATGTTAGGTTCGGTCGTCTGCTTCTCGAAGAGTTCACCGGGAAGTTTTAATACCTGCCCGTATACCATTTCGGCTACGGTGGCTTGGATATATTCTTTCCAGGCGTTACGTATCCCAAGTAGGGCGATCGGTAGGGCTTGCATCCATCGGGTCTTGGCGTGGCAACGGTGGGCAGTTTTGAGTTGTCTGTGAAAACGCTCTACCATTCCGTTTGCCTGTGGATGGTATGCCGTCGTCCGGATCCGCTTGAAACCAATTAGTTTGGACAAACTTTGGAATAGGGCGGCTTCGAATTGGCGTCCTTGGTCGGTCGTTACTTGAAGGGTACACCAAAACGGGCGATCCAGTGGTTTACCAATTCTTGCGCCACTGTTTCTGATTAGATGTTGACGATAGGGATGGCTTCGGTCCATCGTGTGTATCGATCGATGCAGGTGAGGATGTACTTAAATCCTTGGCTCTCTGGAAAGGGTCCTACAAGGTCGATGTGGACGTGTTCGAAGCGTTGTCGCGTGACAGGACATGGCGTCACTGCTGTTTTGGTGTGTCTCGTGACTTTGTTTCGTTGGCAGTGGTCGCATTGTTTGGTTCATTGAGCACAATCTTTCTTGATTCCAGGCCATACAAATTTGTCTGTCAGGAGTTTGGTCGGCACTCTGATTCCTGGATGTGACGGTGTAGGCTGTTGAAAGCTTACTTACGAAATGGCATCGTGACGAATGGTCTGACGTGGCCTTGGGACATGTCGCAGTAGATCGGTTTCTTGGCGTGGTGCAGTTGAATCTTTTGGAGTTGTAGGCTCGTGTTTGCTTGTAGCGTCGTTCTCAACTCTAGGTCAGTTTCTTGATCTGTTCCTAGGGCGTCGAAATCTACTCCTTTCGAGATTTGGTCGATCCGGGACAGGTTGTCTTCGATGATGTTCTCCTTTCCTGCGATGTGCTTGATGTCTGTAGAAAATTGACCGATGTAGTCCAGGTACCGAAACTGTCTTGGCGAACATTTCTCAGGTTTCTGCTGGAATGCGTGAGTTATCGGTTTGTGGTCGGTGTATATCGTAAACAATCGGCCTTCTAGCACGTGCTTGTGATGCTTGGTTGTTTGGTAAATGGCGAGAAGTTCTCGGTCGTATGCTCCATATTTACATTCGGCGGGCGATAGCTTCTTGGAAAAGAAAGCAAGCGGCTCGTTAGTGCCGCCAATATAAACGTTAGTGCTCAAACTGTACCAGCTCAAAACGTTGTAAAAAGGGGTCTGCTAATTTCATGAAGCAGACGCACATTTGTCAAATTGGCCCTGTCCTAATGCGAATTTGAAGCGGCTCGTTAGTGCTTCACATTCGAACGTTAGTGCTGCAAGGGATCCGCATCAAAAAGGTACCAAATCACCTCAAAATTAAACGTGGCTTATTGGGACCTGCCAACTTCACGCCGGTAGACCAACAAACGAAATCTGTTTGATTTTCTACTTTAATCGATCTATCAGTATTAGTGATCGTTAGTGTCGCAAAAAAAATGTTAGAGCTCAAAGCGCAAGAGCTCAAGCGTGAAATTGTGGGTTTGCTAAATTCATGCAGCAAACCCACATTTATTAAAGGCCCAGTGAAGCATAAATTGTGACTACATTGAAACTAAAGATAATATTCTTAGAAACGCAACAACAAAAATCCGATGTCAGTGTCATGTCCCGTTTCCTAGTTACAGGGGTTTAAATATTTACTACGAATGCGGTGACGTCACCGCTCCAACACTTACCGGCTATTATACATTTGCAGTTGCGTATTATCTGTATAACGAGATATTACGTTGTACCACAGATTACCTGTGTTTGTACTAAAATGACACGGTGTTGTGCTTATAAATGTAGAAATTCTACTAATCAAACTGTAGGAATAAGTGTCCATAAATTTCCTAGTCGTGAGAAATCGCCCTTACGTTTTAAAAAAAATCATGAGCAAAGAGGATAAATCGGGTTAAATTTGAACCGACGAAAAGCGCTGTAGTTTGTTCCGTACATTTTGCCAGTGGAGATTTCGAAACAGGCCCTGTTTTACAAAGTAAATTGACCGACTGCAAAATTAGAAATGTACTAAAAAATACCGCGGTTCCTTCCTTGTATTTAAAAGGGGAAAAGCAAGCGTTTTCTAAACGCGAACTCTTGTCGCTCACGAGTAACTTCATCTCTTAAAGGGGTAGTATACCCAAAATCAAAAAAATTGTAGAAGAAAATCTAAGAACAAAATTTCAAACCGGAGTTTTCTACGATGAGTAGTTTTCAAATTATTAACGATGAAAGTTTGAAAGACAGAACATGTGACGTCATCCCGACATCGTGGGTACGGCGGCACGGATCCAAGCAGTCCAAACGCGTCAGTTCTTTCATATTCTAGTTCGCTTTCCTTTGAAAAAAACGAGAAAACCTTACTGAAGTATCATCCGAACATATATCCTCATATAAATTTGAATATTTGTAATAAATTTCTGTACCCAGCTCAGATTGGATACCTATGCTTTCAGTAAGCGGCATCGGTTCCATTTGGTTCAGTTCTTCTGTTTGATTGTGGCATATGTTTGATGTTGAACTGGTTTCTCCACTACGAAATTGAGCGTTTACCCACAATAAGCAATCAGACACAATCTTACTTTCTTAGATAAGTTGACTGGCGTTTTGTAGCTTTATTAGGACCTTTGTTTCCTGTGAGATGTAAAGAAGGGATTGCAGTATGTTAGCCTTCTCTAAACTTTATGCTGAGGTACAGGGTCCTTTCCTTCTTGTATCTTCCAAAAAAATTATCATCTTTAAAGTGGACACTGCAAACGACGTGACTATACTATGATTCAGCGGTTTTTTTTCTAATTTTCCAGACTTTATTTCGACACGGCTCCTTCTTTTCTGGGGGAAAATTTGCAATGGAACATTGGCATTTTTCAAATTATTATTGCAGGGGAAAGCACAAAGTTAGGCATGTTTGAAAATAATGCAGATCACTGACTACCAGTCTCAAATTAACACGTCAAACGTCATGGAATCATATATTGCTATAGCGCGCCACCCACCCATTTGTCGGGATGACGTCACAACGACCGTTTTTTACATTCGACACCTTACCATTTAATAACGAAACGGCGTAGCGACTTGCGGTTTTCACCGTTACTCTTAGATATTTTTAATCTATCTTTAGACGAAAACATGAAATTTGGGTATACTGCCCCTTTAAAGGTTCAAACTGATAAGGGTAATTCCTTCCATATAATTTTTTTGTAAGAACCACAAACTTGAGACTTCAGTTTAACAAAAAGATCGATTAAAATCGCGCTGTGCATTCACGACGACGAGTTAGTAAAGGTGCGCTATGTAGGACCTGCGTATTCAACATGGAGCGGTGACGTCACCGAATCGGTCGACGGAATTTTAAACGTGTATTACGAGCGATCTACTGAACGTAGAAAGCCCGGATTTTTTTTGTACTTGTTTTTGTGGGGATAACTATTTATTGTTTTTTTCTTGTAAATTTAAATTTTTTACTTCACGGGGCCTTTAAAGTGGTCCTGCCTTAATGCGAATCTGAAGCTCCTCGTTCGTGCTCGTTAGGACTTCACTTGTAAACGTCAGTGCTTTTAATGGATCCGTGTCGAAAAACTACCAAAGCATCTTAAAAATTAACTATAACTTATAGGTTCTGCTGACAACACAACAATTAGCAAAATTTGTTTCCAATTAAAAAAAAAGTCGAAGAGAATGAACGAAATGTATTTTGGAACTATTTTTAATTTTTTTAGCAGACCCCTGTTTACAACGTTTTGAGCTGTTACACCTTGAGCACTAACGTTTATATTGGCGGCACTAACGAGCACTAACGCTGCTAGTTTAACTAGTGTACAGATTGCATCGATTTTCTTAAATGGGTCTGCTGGCATGAAGTTAGCAGGCCCACAAATATTTTTTAAAAATAGTAAGTTTCCTTTTGTGCACTAACGATTTCTTCAGCGGCACTAACGGAACACTAACGATATCAGTAATCAGAACCATGGTCTGCTGTAGTAGGCCTGCCAAGTTCATGGACATTATCATATGAGCTAGTAATGTTGGACTCGTAAACAAGTTGTCAGTGTATAATTTATATGGTAAGTTTTTTTTATTTTGCGGTAGTTCTCCAAGCATAGCTACTAGTGGTGCAGTTGCTTTCCCATATAAATTTTCATCTTTTACACAACTACGGGGATTTTTACTTTGATATAGGTCAAAATTGATAAGATATCCTCCTTTTGTATTCAGGGACCACATTTTATACCCGAAGCGAATCGGTTTGCCTGTTTGCAGCTATCTCTGCCAAAATACTTCACCATAGCTTCGTCGTAATTGATCTCTTCTTCGGGAACAAAATGATGCAAAAACTTTTCTTTTAGTTTGTCCATCAACGGACGAATCTTCCATGCTTTGTCGTTTTTGTCCGGACCATTGTTGTCAGCCAAATGTAAGAACTGCATTATCTGTTCAAACCTATTCTTCCGCATTGAATTGCAACCATCTCGTTGCCGATGTCTAATTTTGAATCACAGTAATATCGCCTAGCTGGCTTTATATTGTATCCACTCATAACCAGTATGGCCAAGGCACACAGGATCTCTTCGGAAGTGATTTTAGGATCAGAGACCTTTTTGAAAGCAGCGTATTTCTTAGCTTCATATAGCAAATATTGAATCAAACCTTTATCCCAAAACATTTCAAAAACCTCCAAGGGACTACGATCAGCGAAGTTGGAAAAATCTGGTGAACAAAATTCGGTACCTCGGCTTTGAAGATCACCAGTTGTCCATACAAATTTGGATGGTTTTTCTTTAGAATAGGTCGCTTCCATTGTTTTCCATACATTATCTTCTATGCCCAGAGTGGATTCGCCATTTACATCTTTTCATGACCGAATTTCTACTGGGGCACGGAGTTGACGACCTGTTAGTCGATCGAGATCTCCATCACCTTCTTCATCACCAGATTCTTCGTCTATAACAATATTTACTTCAGGAGGCTCTGTATATATGGCCTCTACATCTAACTCATCATCAGTGGCAATCATTTCCAATGCTTCTTGAAGGGAAAAACCGGATCTAAAAAGCATACAAAACGTATTTCGAACTTCAATCAAACAGAAACATTGAAAACAATGTAGCACTATAAAACGCTAACAGAATATCTTAGCGTTACATATATGTAACATCTAAATTTTGCCCCGAGTTACACAAATGTGAAAAAACTAATCAAATAAATGAATACATCATTCCATTGCTACACTATTATACAACATTTATGATATAATGCAAACAACATACAATACTACTTAGAATGAAAAAGGGAACTTACTCGAACCGAATGTCCATTTCTTAGCAATATCGCAAACGCACTTGAAAACATCGACGCA